ATAGATACAGATAGATCGTACAGCTACTCAGCATGAAGGAGAGATTTGCGCCAAGAAGAGTTGTGCCGAAGCGCCGAGATTAGCGTGGGACAGAACTTTTGTGAGGCACCTCCGTATAGGATCAGTCATAAGAGAGTATCGTATAGATTAAGAAACGCTCTGCCACGTCGATGAGCAGGATCACATACCCGCAACTGCCCGATAGCACAAGCCAGGGTATGCAGCTTCTTCGAATCCAGCGTTCATGAACTGTTAACAGGGAAACAACACGAATCAGTGACCTATCGTACGACGAGCTATATAAGATACCGGATAACATCGGAACAGACAACACCGTCTTCAATAATCCATTATTTAACCTATGATATCCTTAAGAACCTCTTTCTTTTAATGTTCAGACAACTGAAGACTTTGTTACCCGTCCAAATCGCTCCGGTAACCACCCAATCAGGACCCCATACCTTAAGATTGTTCTGCATTTCTTCGCAGAAGCTCATGAACATGTCGCCTAATGCAAAACAACAAAAGAACGAAAAGTTCGGGCATCTCCCTCTATCGACTTCCGGGCCACAAGAGACTAGCTTGACGGTGCGTATGCGTCATGAGATTTCATTGAAGAGTCCCGATACTGACGTACCAAGTAGGGAAATGCGCTCCTTCGAACGCCATACTTCAACAAAGGCTCGGCATTCACAAAAGAAGAACGCGATACATTCAAGCTCCATGGCCTTCTTCCCTCTAACATTCAAACTCTCGATGAGCAGGTCAAGCGTGCATATGCGCAATACAGGTCTCGTCCGAACGACCTCGCCAAGAACACCTTCATGACGAGTATGAAGGAGCAAAACGAGGTCCTATACTACAGAGTATGAGATACCTTGTAGTTCTTTGGATGTTATGACTAACGACTAGCAGCTGATTCTTGATCACCTTAAGGAGATGTTCTCCGTCATCTATACCCCTACCGAGGGTGAGGCAATTGCTGATTACTCCAAAATCTTCCGAAGACCCGAAGGTTGCTTTCTCAATATAGACGACATGGGTCGCGTTGAGGACGACATCAAGCAATGGGGCGGCCCTGAGGATATTGACCTGATAGTCGTAAGCGATGGACAGCAGATACTGGGTATTGGAGATCAAGGTGTAGGAGCCATCCTGATCAGTGTGGCGAAACTCGTCATCTACACACTATGCGCAGGCATACATCCCTCACGAACACTTCCGGTGGTCCTTGACTGTGGCACAGATGTGGGTGTATGTAAATCCTTTTACCAGATCTAGGGCTGATTCGAGTACAGAACGAGGATCTCTTGAATGACGAGTTATATCTTGGCCTGAGAAAACCACGAGTGTCTGGCGAAAAATACGACCAGTTCGTCGACACGTTTGTGAAGGCCGCACGAAAGCAGTACCCCAAAGCCTACATTCATTTTGAGGACTTTGGTTTGGACAATGCGCGAAGGATTCTCGACAAGTATACTCCTGAAATCGCATGCTTCAATGATGATGTTCAAGGAACTGGTTGTGTCACGCTTGCAGCTATCATGGCAGCTTTCAAAGTCAGCGGTACTAAGTGGGACGAGGCTCGCTTTGTCATGTTTGGAGCAGGCTCAGCAGGAACCGGAATTGCGGACCAGATTCGGGATGCCATTGTCCAGAATACCGGAAAATCAGACGACGAAGCGAGTCGTCAAATTTGGTATGTCTATACTTAGTATGATTAGTCAAAGCCAAGCTGATTTTCTTCAGGTGTGTCGACAAGCCAGGCCTTCTTCTGCAGGGGAAGAAAGACCAGCTTACCCCTGCCCAAATGCCCTTTGCGCGCACAGACAAGGAGTGGGAAGGAAAAGATCATGGGGATCTATTCTCTGTTATCAAAGAAGTGAAGCCGCATGTTCTCATAGGTACATCGACCAAGCCAGGCGCTTTCACAGAAGATGTCGTCCGTGAGATGGCCAAACACGTCGAGCGCCCTGTCATTTTCCCACTGTCTAACCCTACCAAACTCCATGAAGCCAAACCCCAGGATCTGTATGATTGGACAGATGGAAAAGTATTAGTGGCGACTGGTTCACCTTTCGACCCAGTTAAGTACAACGGAAAAGAATATGAGATATGTAAGTCGCTGCTATTGCATTTGTTTAAAGACATAATGCTGACTCGGTTAGCCGAATGCAACAACTCCGTAACATTTCCAGGTATTGGACTTGGCGCAGTTCTGTCCCGTACTCGCCTGATGACCCCCGCACTTCTTGTCGCCGCTGTCCAAGCTCTAGCTTCCGCAGCTCCAGTAGTTAACAATGACGGGGCCGGTCTCCTCCCCGACGTTAAAGATGTCCGAGAGATCAGCGTACAAATTGCCAAGAATGTGATAAAGAAGGCAGTGGAAGATGACCTGGCGCAAGAAAAGAATATACCAAGTGATGATGCAGAGTTGGAAGAATGGATCAGAGAGCAGATGTGGGAAGCGGAGTACAGACCGTTGAAGCTTGTTGAGCATGACAAGGCGGATGCACATGCGAAGGGAGAGGCCGGAACAGCATCAGGACAGAGAGAGGCAAGGTTTGATTCCTAGTCCTGTATTCACGAAGGTCTGGAGTATGCTATTTTACCAGCTGTTGCCTGACAGGGTGACGGAGTGATAGGGACCAGCCTGTTTTGAGTACGTATCACCAATGCTCAATGTAACAGAGACAAGGGTGAGATGAGAAAAGAATGACATGAACATGAGTATGGACGCGGATATTCAGGGTCTCCGGATGTGGCTTCTATATTGGGGTCCGCGCTAGTAACCATTTGGAATCCGTCCTGATCCGGTGGCTCGGCATCTACGTGGCCATCATTGTCCCCTGCCCCCATCTGAATGGCTAACTGTGAACCTACTGAGTTGAGACACTTCACCGCTTCGAACATATCTAATGCACTACTCTTGAATTTTCATCCATGGAAATCACCATATTCAGGTGGTGACTGCGCAATTCAACAATACCGTCCACTCATCAGACTAATCCGATTGATAGTAACACGAGATGGAAGTTCTCCCCTTCCCTCGGCTTCATCGGAAAGCCAGGGATCACGCCAGTGAGGCCAAGAAAGATGTCAGACGCAAACTTTCAGACTACTCAAGATCTTACCATTGTCCGAAATGTTTAGCTACCCCTGGGGTTTACAGAATACCAGCACGACTGACTTCCATGAATGTTCACTAATATCTAGCTTGTTTTGCTACGTGTGGTCGGAAGAAGTGTTTTACCCCTGCCTTACTACAGCTACAGGTAAGACTTTTGTACGTGGAAAAGCTAAACTAATCTGGCTCTACTTCGGATAGCCTTTCCTCTCTCATCTAATGTTGGCCAACGGACATTGGGCCATCCTTACCAGGTCTAGCTTACATCATACTACATATGGTATAGTCCTCACTCATCAAGCTTGTCTGTGTCGACACCTCACCGCTAGCTCATGTGCAGGGACTTGGATTGTCAACATGGTTAAGATGTCGATCTAGAAGAACAGTGCGTTGGTAGCATCTAAGATAGCACCCGACTTAGCATAGAACCTATCGAATTTCTCCAAGCGCATAGTTAGGCTATAGCCTTTCTAGACAAGATGCACACTGATAGAAGCAGCTGCATCGATATGCAGGATACTTTCAGGGTAAAGGATGAGAATACCTTCTCTTATAGTCAGCGTAATGATGCCCTAGGGTAACACTGCCATCCCTGCCGAGCATTCGAAGCACCGACACCGTCAGGGTCTCCAGGTTCTAGACCATATGCCTTCAAGGTTGTCTCGAACCTTATTTGGGCGATCCGGAAGACTATCATCGTTCGAGACCTACACTGCCACCCGAAATTGGTATCGCGTTGGTGTACCTTTATATATTCTTAGCGCATGGTTACCATCTTGGGCCTGCTGACAGCCCAGGATACTTACTGGATATGTGCTAGCGCTACAACGAATTCACCGTTGTCATAGGTTACTACTCTGATTGGTCGGTGGATTAAGCAACTCACGCAAGCAGCAAGAGTAGCCGTTGCGGAGAGGGATGCTCCTTGGAAACAATGCTTAGAACCATGCATCCCCAACAAATCATGGTGTGCTAAGTAAACACGTGGTTGCAACGAGCTGGAAATCCGATCTTAGTCAAACGCTGTAAAAGGATAACCCCCCCTGGTCTGTCAGAGTAACAAGTCAGTAGTGTTGAAGAGGGTACTCATCATCCAGGGGGGGCAAGGGGGTATAAAGAATAGTAATCCCGCAATTTTCGTAACGTAAAAAACGTCAAGGGTCCATCTAAACGGAGCCCAAAAATCGGTGTTAAAAAAGATACGATCAACGCAAACATTTGATTCGAAGGTGGAAAGGGAGGGGGGTTGGGGGGTTTGCTAGTCGAAAAAAAAATTTATAAATGACATGTCATGGACTTTGCGGAATCAGGAAGTGCCTTTCCAAACCCCATATCGTCAACTTCGCTTTAGCAACCATAGGAACCAAACCAATCAACAACTTTAAACGCAAATATGTGGCTCTGCTACTAGCTCGTCGCCTTCGTTGCCAGCGCCTTTCTCGCTCCACCTGCGCCGTTTGTGGAACCAGGAACGGCCCGCGAGTTTATAAAGCGGGCCTTGCGCGCCTAAAGGCCATGGATCCTGCTGTATTGAAAGGTATGTTGCTCAAAACATGATTTCCTTCGCTAGACTAACTCTCTCGAGTAGCTTCTAAAGTCAAAGTAAAGGAAGAGCCTATATCTAGCGACTAGTTGGATTCGATAGCGGCGGCCGGGTCGACGTCGGTATGGTTGGTGCCTCCAGCATAGACGTCGATTATACTTGTGGCACTGCTGGCGGATACGGTGGATGGGCGATTGCGAAGTCCAATGGCTGCGATGGTGTGGACATCAGCATTGGCTTCCTGGATAAGCGCCCTGGTGCGTAGGTTGGTGGATTCATCTGAGTTCATTTAGTTTGGATTGTGTGCATACATTCAACCTAGATGCTCGTTATGGCGGATTGAAAGGTGGGTTGTGGATTGGGGGGAGCTGCTTTTTCAAGATTTTGGTGTTGGAGAAGCTTTCTTTATGGTTTGTCCTCGCATTTGACTACTGCAGAGTCCTGGAAATTCTTCTGTATCTACGTCACTTGAATAGCACTTAATGCAACCCCATTGAAACCAAGAAAAGAAACACGGGGGAGGCGAGGTTTTGGGCACGAAATAGGTGTCACTATTTTGGTAACTCGTCGAGAGAACATGGGGTGTGATACATGGGGTTAGGCTATAATCTTCCTAGTCATAGTCTCGATCAAGGCGAGAACAGCTGGGGTCCACAGTTGATCAGGGAGTTTAATTTGGTTCGTATAGCGACTATTTGATTATAGGGCTTTGTTTATACACTTTCGCGTGCCTGGACCTCCCAGAGGAGAAATCTGATATTATCCATGTGCTCCTTGTTGTCATAGTAATTGCTATAAATAGCATGGTCGAGCAACAACCTTACGAAATGGTCATCTTGTCGTCTGATGAACTGGCAAAGGTCGACGTTATCCCTCTCTAATATGAATTTGACAAAGCATTCATTCATGACAAAGTGAGGTCCTTGGGTAATGGCCTCGATGTCTTTCATAGAGGGGCTGATGACAGACGAGAGGAGGTTGGAGAGGGCGACCGTGGTTGCGGAATCACCGAGGGCTGCGAGATAGGCAAACACGGTGGTGATACCTTGGACAGCAAAAGAGCACCTTATTTCATCTTCTCGATCTTGACTCGTTCGAATGTCGGCAAGGACAATCAAGGTGCGGTTTTGGAGACGTTTGGTGTCGATATGGTAGATGGTGCGGGCGGGCGGACCGACCCGAGCTAGTTCCGCCGAAACGCGGGCATGGTGGAAGTCGAGCTTGAGAGCGGGAGTAGCATTATTCGCTACCAGATGGCGATTGAGGTAAGCAACAAAATGGTTGCGCAGACTGTGAGTGGCCGTGGGAACTTGCTCGGATAAGACGGCAACGGCGAAGTCGTCAATGGGACTGGGGAGAGTGGGAATATAGGCCTTGGCAAGGTCCGTGCCGAGGCGATGGGCCAATCGGTCGTCGCCAAAGATGTAGCGCTGGTAGTCCTTGAGAGAAAAGGGAAATCTCAGCTCATCGTCGGCGACGATGCTGTGAAGCGAGAAGACATCTTGAACCATTGGGGCCGGGCCAGGTCCTCTGACGCTAGAAGATGAGATTTCGCAGGTGCAGAGTGAGTCCGTGGCCAGACATTTGAAGGCCGACCCATGGCCAGGTTAGCGGCAAGAACCGTCTGGAATCGAGATGCCAAGAGGGGGCTGTGCAGCCGACGCCTTTTTTATCAATGTCGACGATGGCTCCTTGCCATGTACAGTATGCGCATGTGTCTACAGTACTTAAATGCCTCAAATCCACGTCATGGGGACGGCCAATGTCAAAAGACGGCTGGACATACCCCAGACAGCATCGCACAATCACCCCTCTAGACCATTTGCCGATCGAAGCTGGATGCCGGAGACGCCAAACGCGCATGCCGCGTCTTGGAACATGTTTCCCATTGCCATGAGGATCTGCATCTGGACCGCGACTGCTTCAGACGCTGTCAACGGCTTCTCCGCGCGCCATGTCGCAGGTTGTTGCAACCACAGCAGAGACACCAATTGCTCAACGAGGCCAACACCACGTTCCGACTCTGCATCTTGAATCTTGTTACGATGAAGCCTATCGTACACAGCAAGCCAAGGAAAAGCTTTGCTACATTTGCATGTAAAGAACACAAAGCTTGGCGAGTAGTCGGGCATGTTGGTTTAGTACCACGTTTGATCTCGTGTAGCTCACGTGACCGGATATCCCAATCGATGGGTCACGTGGTCGCTGCATGTGCGACATGACTCCACCCACATATTAAGGACATGGCCACTGCATACGGAATTACTGTATACGAATCACACTTCCCTAACACGCCTGAACCCCTGGCAGTGGTTGCATCAAAAAGGACAGTAACCTTGGCAGATAGGCATGCACTCCATTGGTGGTACGATGTTATACAAATCAGGACCATGTTCATAATGCTCGCTAGCCGATCACTGCAAACAACTTGCAGAACACTGCATTTTATACTTTTGTGGCGTCAAGGATCACTCCCTATTTTCGCATCCAACACTGCCGTGTTTCCCTTGCCAAGAAGCCTACAGGAAAAGCGGCAACCACCAGATTAGTCGCTCCTGCCTCCTTCACTCACCCCACTACGCACACTGCTCTCTGATTCCAGCACAACATCCACTCTTCTACAATCACGTCTTCAAGTCGCCATCCATACAAGAATCAGATATTGCGTATTCAATCCATCAACATATCCAGTACAATGGCACCAGGCTCCTCCGCGCTGGCACAACCCAAGTGTTTTCCCTACTCTACAGCGATGCGAACGGAAATTGACCCTTTGGCCGTCTGTGCAACAATCAAGTCGTGGTCATACGAAATGTCGTCCTTGACTGTATCAACCAGTTTGGCCCTGGGATGAACATCGAGCACCATGTACGCGCACATGATGTAAAGCTCACAGTATGCCAGC